TTAAATGATTACTTAATTAATTATGACATTATATTATAAACATTAGTAATTTACACAATACTTAATTAAATGATTAAAATTTTAATTAATTATAACATTACATTATAAATTTATAGTATGATTACTTAATTAATTGTAACATTCTATTATAAACATTAATACAATACTTAATTAAATGATTAGAAATTTAATTAATTATAATATTACATTATAGTTAAATAGTATATTACTTAATTAATTATAACATTACAATTTACATTGTAGTATGATCACTTAATTAATTATAACATTACATAATTAAATGATTACTTAATTAATTATGACATTATATTATAAACATTAAACATTAGTAATTAATTAAATGATTAGAAATTTAATTGATTATAACATTACATTATTGGTAAATAATTACTTAATTAATTGTAACATTACATTATATTGATCACTTAATTATGTAAAACATTAAACAGTTAAATGATTACTTAATTAATTATAAATTTATAACATTATATTATAAATATTATTTATTTACTACATTAGTCATTAGTACATTACTAACCAAATGGTTAAAAAATCTAATTAATTGTAACATTATATTATAAATTTATAGTATGGTTACTTGATTAATTATAACATTACACTATAAACATTAGTACAATATTTAATTAAATAATTAGAAATTTAATTAATTATAACATTATATTATAAATGTATAGTATGATTACTTAATTAATTATAACATTACATTATAATTAATTAATTACTTAATTAATTACAACATTACTATATTACATTATAAACATTAATAATTTATAAAATTAAATTTACTACATTAGTATTTAGTAGTGGGAGAATCAAAGAAGTTGGTGACGGTTTCTAACTTTCTATATTATTGTTTGTTTGAATGATTTTGGTGAAGTTATTTGATGTGAATTGTAATGAATAATTGTTTGTGTTTTGGTTTTGATTGAGGAATTTTATGTGAATTGGGATGAATTGATTAATTTAAGTGTTGCCTAGAGCTTAAAGGATTTATGAGTTACATTGGACACAAATGAATGAGTAATCAAAATTTGTTAGGGGTGTATTTGTAAACTTTTAAGGTATTTTTGTCATTTTTTAAACTAATAGGGGGTAAGTTATCTTTGATAGGGTGCTTTGGAAAGGAACCGGAACCTGCATTTTAGGTTCCGGGTCCTTGAATTTAAGAACCTGCACTGTGCGGTTCTGGTTTCAATTCTTTTTTTTTTGGAACCTGTATTGTGCAGTTCCGGTTCCTCTAAAAAATGCAGAATACCCAGAACCGCTCACCCTTGTTGCTTATTCTGCATGCAACCAAAGTGCAAACCAAGTTGACCCATCTACTTCTCAACAACCACGGCCAAAAGGAAGCAAAAAATTTATGATACCGAGATGCTCATAGGAGTCTTTTTCTGATCAAATGTCTAAACTAAAAGGTGTCTTATTGTGTATGTATATATATACAAATGTTCATTAACTCATTCCCCACATTCTCCTCAACCAATTTCAAATTTCAATCAATCAATTCTCATTTTAGCATCAATTCTCAACTATGGAAACGGTGAGCTACCTATAAGTTATAAACTGTTCTTTAATTTTTAACATTATGATATACCAGTGGTTATTTTTATTCTTTTATGGCATGATTTTAAAACTAATTTTATATCTTTTATATGGTATTTATATATTATTTATCTCATTAACTATTCATTTACATATCAATGTCATATAATGTTATTTTTTCTCCTTTGTTTCTGCTAATTGCATGTTGTGTATTGGACCTTTGACTTGTTGCAGCCTCTTAAACCTGCAATTGAGGTACAACTCTTCTCTACATGGTAATTCATTAGTCTCTGTAATATTGTAGCATTGTCAAACTATTTGACTAACTTCCTTAAAATAATTTCTTCATCTCAGAAAGAATTTATCAACACATCTGAAAGAGTTAAATCTGTTGATCTCCGTCCAACTCAACCATGGTATTGTCCCTCAACTTCGAATTCCAAAAACATTAAGAAGTTTCATTATATTGTTGTGTATGATTAAGTTTAAGACTAAAAGTTTATTTCATCATAATCTAATGCAAGATCCTGGCAAGTTTGCATTCAGGAGCTGTGTGTATCTGGAACTACCATTCTCAGGTATAGCATTACATTGTTTGTACCAGCAACAAAATCACACTAGAAGGCCACGCTCACAATGATACTACAGTGTGCATCCATCCTGAGCTTCCCATCTTAATTACAGTCTCTGAGGATCAGATTGTACGCTTATGGAATGCTACTACTTACAGGGACAATGTGTTGCAGTTGATAACTTCTAGGTTCCAAGTTTATTTGACTGAGTAGTCAGCCTAGTTGCTTTATCTTTTCAAAAGATCGACCAATTTACTCCTAATTTCTCTTTACTTTTAACTTGTTGGTATTACTAACATCGCAGCTTCAAAACGAGCTCAACTTGAGAGCAAAACGAGCTCAATCTGAGCTAAACGAGCTCGACCTGAAAGGTCATAGCGAGCTCGACCTGAAATGTCATAACGAGCTCGACCTGAAATGTCATAACGAGCTTGACCTAAGAGCATAAGAGATCAGCGATCTGAACACGCGATTTGAAGCTAAAGATTAGCGATCTGAAGCCGAGGATCAAGACGACCTGTGCGTGCGATCAGAGAACTCTGACGCGTGTGATCTGGCCACGCGATTGGAGAATTCTGACGCAGGTTTGAGATCTGAGCACGCCATCAGGGAACTTGGACGCAGGTTTGAGAATCAGACCTGTATGGGCCACCAAACTGTTGACGCTTGATTTTGGACGCCAACGACTCGCACTTGGGAAACGCTGAGATGACTCAAGAGACACACGTGAATGGATCCATGAGATTTGAATATGGAGCTGAGATTATATATGTTGCAGAAAACATAAATAATAGGCTAACAAGAGAGGTTTTTATAGTGGTTCGGATGCTCAAACAAGTGACTCCTACATCCACTGTTATTTTATTGATCTCTGACTATTTCTATGATATTGCCCGTAAGGCATACAAAGATGAAGAAACACCATGTTTACAGAGAGAGAATTGAGCTCTTATCTATGGTTAGCTCTCATATGCCCAGCCCCCCTCTTCGGGAAGAGAAGTGTCAATTTATACACCTTTGCACTCAATGTAATGAGTGTTTTACAAGTTGCCTTGACACATGGAAGGCTTTCGCCCATTCATATCTTGAAATGAGATAGGGTTGGTATGAATATCTTTGAGTATATATGGGCTTGGCAGCTAGTACAAAAAGATATTAAATGAGCTGACATAAGCGTGACTTTTTAGGCATAACATGATTTTACCTTATAAAACAGTAAATGACCTGCTTATGTTCCTTCTCTGAACAGGATTGCATTTGGTAGTGACAAAGGAACCATTATGGTCAAGATAATAAGGGCTTGAGGTTGTATTCCTAAGACAACTATGGCATGTTTTGAAGAATAAACTTTGTCTATATGAGATGAAGAGAAGATCAGAAGGAATAATGACCAGTATTGTACTATATATATGTTAGGGCCAAAAATCGTCCTTGGCCCAAATAAGAGAACGGGACTGAATGAGGAAGAGACCAGGCCCAATCTCGATGCAGCTTCATCCAGATTAGGCCCATTTTATACGAGATACAGTCGGCCCAAACCATCCGGGCACAAGCCTCCCAATCCCTGTTCACTTCCTGGACCTATGAGCGAGTTCCCCACGGCACCCACATATCACCTTCCTATTTGGGATCAATCTCTTATTCGAGGTTACTTTCCTGTTCGGATCACTTTCCTACTCGAAAACTGGTAAGACAGCTCACCACCGCCCTAATTCCTCTAGGGTTCGCATCAGAGTGACACTAGGACTCCTACTCCCACCAGGATTGGGAGACCAGACAGTCACTATATAAGCAAAGGTCAGCCCTCTCACAAGACACATTACATTACACCTTCACACCCGAAGCTTTTACTTGAGAGCTTCACATCACTGCCGTAGTCACAGTCCCGACTAGACTTCCAGTAATATCTATACTAGCCTCTTTCAGCCTTACTGACTTGGGTGTCGAAGTGCCTACGGCCAACACCACCCCAGTGTTTCTCGTTCGCTTCACGCATTTGTTTCTCTACGTGTGCAGGTGCAGTGGATCGCTAGTGACCTCAACCTCACGGGATTAGACCCCCCTTCCGTACAGGTAGATTTTTACGTCTATAATATATTACATGTTAATCTGGCTTTTGTATCATGATTTGCAGTCTTTCGCGATTCTATTTGACTTGTTAAATCTACCTTATTTGTATGATATTCAGTTGAATAAATGGATTTCAGCCGCAAAATTAACCTTCTAATTTGTCATGTCGCTGCAAAGTCCTGACGATAGATGGACTGACAGGGCCTCTTCATTTTAAACTCTAGAACTGTAGTTACTTTCTAAATTGTTAAATTATCAATAATTTGAAGAAAAGGAAGTAATCTTCAATGAAACAAATATACCACGTCATCTTGCTTTGGTAATATGCATATCGGGAGCCATAACAAATACCATCAATGAAAGAGGACTTTCTTCTCAACTGCTTAGAAAATTGTCAGAATAGACCTCTAATTATATCATTATATAAGATTGTATCTTGTAATTTTCTTTTAAAAGTTAAAAGTAAAGCTTATCAGAATAGCAAGTCCTTCCAAAACAAATTTGATTTTACATTCTAGTAGAAAGCAGAGTATTGTTGCATGTGCATTATGGACAAACTCACAAAAGATAATTAAAAAATAAATATGGGTGCGGATTCTATTTCCATATATGGACTATTCTTAATTACCTGAATTAAATGTAAAGCTCTGGATGATCTCACAGTTTATATATTAAAAAATACAGTCCAAGGCCTATAAATAAATTCAAGACTTTGAATCAATATTCAAGCAACAAAAGAAAGTCAAGAAACTGAGAGACTTACAACAAACAACAATGGAGAGAAACAACTCAAGGTGTCTTGTGATAATGGTTGTCATGACGATGATGATAATTCTCTCAGTGCACAAAGTGCAGGCCAAATTTGAAGAATGCAAAAAGAAATGTGCAGAGGAGTGTGCTCATAGCGAAGTTGTTGAAGTTTGCAACATCATATGTACCAGAAATTGTGAGATTCCACCGCGCTCTAAGGCTATATATCTCTGCAATCTTGGCTGTGCAACTTCCTTGTGCTCTATCATCCAATCTGGTATTCCTCATCCCTTTAAGTAATTCATTTCGTTTCGATGAGTATATATTTCATCAACTGAAATTATTTATATATTGTTGCAGATGCAGAAGCACTAGAAGGTTGTGTGGATTCATGCGCCCTCAACTGCCAAGAACCTTACCGTACCACTTAATAATGTATACATATTCAATCCGTTCAAAGTAAAACAAAAGAACCCAATAAGAGTGAAAATATGCATGGTTGTTTTGTTCAAGTAGCTTCTATAGCTTTCTTTTCAGGCCAAATGCATAAGGAAAGATTAATTAAAATATGAGATAGCCCATCTTAAGAAAAATACGGTAATAAAATACCATTGATGAAGGTAGATTTGCTTCTGCACAAATTTCAAATGTAAAATTATGAAAGAAAAATCAATTGCCATAATAAATATCATCAATTAAATGCGCTTAGAAAGAAATCTCTTCTAAATTAAACTCTAATTTCTTTTATACATCCTCATCACTTTTTATTTTAGATTTTGTTTTTGTTTTTGTTTTTGTTTTTTTTTTTGGTTGTAATTGATTTGAATCAATGAAAGAAAAAGTTATTCAAAAGAGAAATGGGCAACCCATTTCAAGAAAAAAAAAAAACTATATGTTTATGTAGTTGACAATCACAAAAGACATTTTGTTAGGATCCCACATCGGGATCTCACACCCACCAAGTGTGGTACTTAAGCCTAAGGGCTCTCCACTTATCAGGCCGGTCTTTTGGGTTGAACTCTCTTTTGGGCTTGAGTTCTAATATTGGTGCTCTCGTTGGATTGCGGAAATGACTATCTATGAGCTAGATTAAGGTGCAGTGTGCTCTCCTTGGTAGGGGGTGTTGTATCGAATAATTGATAGGTGAGTGAAGCTAGACTAAGGTGCAGTGTGCTCTCCTTGGTAGGGGGTGCTGCATCGAATAACTGATAAGTGAGTGAAGCCCCCCAAAGGGGGAAATGGCTACCATCGGGTGAGTGTCGATAGAGGGAAAAAGTCATCATGGCCATTGGCTCTTAAGGGGGGGGGGGGGGGGGGGGGGGCTGCTGCCATCAAGTGAGTGTCAATAGAGTAAAAGCCGTCATAAACATTTGCTCTAAGAAAGGGAGAGGGCGGGGGGGGGGGGGGGGGGGGGGCGGGTGGTGCAGTTAGGATCCCACACCCACCAATGTGGTACTTAAGCCTAGGGGCTCTCCCATTTATCAAACCGGTCTTTTAGCTTGGGCATTCCCTTGGGCTTAAATTCTAACTAGGGTTGTAAACTAGTCGAGTCGAATCAAGTTTTGGCTTAAACGAGCCTGACTCGTTTTGGACTTTGGCAAGTGCAAGTCAAGTCTCGAGCCTGACAAGCAGGGAAATTGAGCTCGAGACTCAATTCATTTTTTACACGAGCTGGCTCAAACTCGAGCATGATTAAAACCTTCAAAAGGATTTACCTTAGTAACTACAGTACTAGACATATTACTACTAGCAGTTGTAGTGTTCTTCTAGAAGTTTTTGCCATTAAACTTCTTAAACGATATCCCAAAAATACACACCGAAAAACATGTTAAAGAGTTGGAAAAAGAGAATGACTAGGTCATCCAACCAGAGGAGTATAAAAGATGGAGGTTAAAATATTGAGAGAGGCGGCCGACAAGAGATAGAGCGAGATGGGTTGTAAATTTGTAATAGCCGTTTGGAAGTGGTTTTGTGTGGACACTAGTTGCAATAGTCGTCGGCGAAGGAGATAGCGAGAAGAGGTGGTGGTCGACGGATAATCAGCTGGTTGAAAAGGTGGTGGTTGACGGATAATTAGCTGGTTGAAGCGGTGGTCAATGGAAATCAATGATGTCTAAGTTAGGGTTAGGGTTTTTTCTTTGAAATGTGTTTTGCCTTTTGCGAATTTTGAACATCTGTTTTGAAATTTCGATTAATTGGGAATTGTGGGTCATTTGTCTTTTTTACAAAGTTTTACATGTCAATTTACATAACACCCTCAATACTTGTAAATATCGCCCTAAAACTCAATCAAGCCAATGAAAGCTCGCAAGCCTTGTCGAGCCAAGCCGGATGACACTCGGAACCCGACTTGTTGCTCACAACAAGCTTCTCATAAGCTGGCTTGGCTCGGCTCAGCTGACACCCCTAGTTGTACTACATTTAGATCTAGTTTTTCATTTGGTTAGCATGCATATAAACATTTGTTTTTTTTCTTATTAAAAAGACTTGTTTCTCTTTTTTTAGTTATTGTTAGAAACATGTACCATCAATTTGATATTCCAAAATTAATAATAAGTAATTAACGTGAATTGGTATTGAAAAAGTTTACAGACCTAGCCTTGTAACTTCAACAACCATTCAAAAGGGGTTGACGAGAAATTAGTTCACTTGATTTCTACGATGCACATCATCGTGTGATCATGGTCTTGATGGTTAAGTCTCCTTATTAAAGATGTAAACGTGATGACCGAAGACCTAATTTTCAAGGTTTATTGTGTGGTCATTGCTTTTACTTTTTGAGATGTATAAACCGAAAATAGGAATATTGGTTTTCCCAACTGTTCTTCATAGGCTTATGGTAATGGTTTAGTCATTAAATTTTGTTATAATTAACATTAGTTAATCAGTTATTAAAAGTTATGTTATTCCGAAAAGAATTATCTTTTTGTGCTTTTGAATTGTTCGACATTGGAATTTAAATCAAATTCCATTTTGTTGATAATTGTGGCTTAACAGAAAAATGTTATACATCACCATGTGAATTAATATTCTTACAACAAAACTCAACAATATTTTAGTTATTAGTTCAATATGATACTAATTAAAATCATCTCTCAAGACAAAGTACTGTTTAAAATAGAATTTTCCTATAACAAAACTCAACAATATTTAGTTAATTAGTTCAATATGAAAATATATATTTATGGATGTAACACATGGTCTCATCACTACATTGAAGAAGGATTTAGATTCTCATTCATGGCAAGCCTAAGTTATTTCCTTTTTGTCATAATTTTAGGTTCAATAAGTCTCAACCCAAGAGTATGCAATGGGCAAGAGCATAAGCTTTTGTTCGTGTTTGGAGACTCACTGTTTGATGCAGGAAATAATAAGTACCTTAATAGTAGCATGAGAGTTGCACAAGCATACTATCCGTATGGAATAACTTTCCACAATCAATCTACTGGAAGAGTATCAGATGGCCTCATAGTCCCAGACTTTATCGGTAAAAAATCCTAAAATTAAGAATTTAATTACTAATTTATTAATCCGAGTTAATTAATATAATTGTGGTTGCAGCCAAGTATGCGAATTTGAATATGGTTCCACCATACCTACAACCAGGAGCAAACTTTAGTGATGGAGTCAACTTTGCTTCAGCTGGATCAGGTGTTTTTGACACTATGCCTGGCCTGGTATGTGTGTCTTTCCTTTTTTCTCTTTTCTTGAATTGTAATTAACGAAGTTAGTCTTGGACATGATCATTAAACAATTAAGTAATCAATTACAGATAAGCCTTCCGGGACAACTAACCAATTTCAAGAAGGTGGCAAGTTCATTAGACAAAGAGGTCCTGAAGAGATCTGTTTTCTTAATTAGCATGGGAGGGAACGATTACTTTAGCTTCAACAACAAAAACCCTAATGCGACTCTAGCTCAACGACAGCAGTTCCAAAGGATGGTGGTTGGCAATTTAACTAATGCACTCAAGGTATAATAAGATCAGTAGTAATCTCTCAATCAATCTAATATTACATTGCAATTTAACAAAAGTTTTCTTAATATTGATATGGGGTTTCAATTCTTTGCAGGAAATATATGAGCTAGGTGGAAGGAAATTTGCGTTCCAGAATGTTGGACCATTGGGTTGTATGCCATTGATGAAACAATTTTATCCTCAACTCAACGGAAGTTGTAATAAAAACCTTTTGGTACATGGAACAATGCACAATAGAGCTCTCTCAAACGCTCTTAAAAAGTTAGAATCGCGTTTAACTGGCTTCAAATACTCCATATTTGATTATTATACGGCACTTCTTGATAGAATTAACCATGCTTCAAAATATGGTATGTTTCTAAATATCTATCATATATTAATTTTGAATGGCTTTTAATTAATGCATGTGATTAATTTATACTTAAACTCCATATTTAATTGTGTCTTGAAGGTTTTAAAGAAGGGATAATAGCATGTTGTGGCACTGGGCAATTTAATGGACAAAATTGTGGAGGGGGATTTACCGGAAAAGATGCTTACAATCTCTGCTCAAATCCTTGTGAGTATGTGTTCTTTGATGGAGGCCACACCACAGAAAAGGCGAACAACCAATTGGCAGAGCTTATTTGGAGTGGAGTACCAAATGTCATAGGGCCTTACAATGTGAAGCAATTGTTTGAACTTTCATGATTCATTTCTGCATAAGATTATTTATTATGATCTGTTTAGTCGATTTATTAAATAAATTGTTTATGAAATGATGTAGTTTTTGTAAACATATCATTGAAATTCAGTTATTCAAATCTATTCAATAAATAAATTGATTCGGTACTATACAATCATATTTAGATTAAAAAACAAACGCCACCATATATAAGACTAGCTCCCATCGTATGTTCTTCGAGCTGACATGACTTCTTCCACGGGTTTTTACTGCTTTATATATTTCATTGTTCTTGGATTTCATGATGTATTTGAGTTGTTTAATCTTAATTACTTTTATATCGTTATAGCAATATTCATGGAAAAATTTTAACTTACCAGTGTAATTTAGGTAGCATTTTTAGTTGGTTTGAAATTGCTAGAATTTATATCGAAAACTGTGAAAATTAAAAGGAAGTCTTGGCCACTATTTCTAGTCAAATTCTTTGTACGCAGGCTTTCAATGCCATTATGTGAACTCACTGAAAAAGTACTTGAGAATAACAATTTATTGATGCTTGAATACAGATCAAATACATTCGCTGATCTTATAAGTAATTTATTAATTATCCTAAACCAAAGACGCTTCAAAATTTATTTGAGCATTCGTTTATGCAGCTCCCCACTTTATCTGCATCTGCAAAAACAACGTATAGAAAGCGTTAGAAAGAGAAAAACAAGAGGGAATTACACACACATAGAGAGAACAAATATATGTACCGTGGGCCAATTTGTTGAAGTGATGAAATGAACAACCGAGTTTGCAGAAGTGAATGTGATCCTGAAGAGTGGCCGAGTGTTTACACCTCTCCTTACATACTTTCATACATTCTTCTTTATAGAAAGTGCATACATGCATGCATAACTTGTAGCAGTCGTAATGAGCCATGGCATCTCCCCCTCCCGCACACACTACTATCACTAGCACAACCAACATAACACTAACACTAACACTAACCCCTTTGTTCTCCATCTTGCTTCAATCTGCAACTGATTAGCCTTTCCAAGGGCTAATTAATTTATAGGTTAAGAAACTTCAACCATGGTTAAAATTCTCATCAATGTGCTGTTAGTCATATATAGTGAATATTAATTATTTTGCCATATATATGTGTGTATTTAATTAGATTATGAAAAGGTTCTAAATATATATTAAAATGGTAAGTAATTTATAATGGATAATTTACCATTTAAAGAATTCAAATTAATCTTTTTTTAAAGAGACAGAGGACATTATTAATGTTTTACATTTTTATTGTGTCCTTAATTAGTTAAGGCAAAATGAAGAAAACTCATATGCATTAATTTTTACAATATAATTAATTGCATTAGTATTGGTGCTGCTATGTGATTGACTAGGCACAAACTTATTGGTTCAACAATTAAGTTAATAAGCTAATTAACTTATACATGTAATTTTTTTTTTCATTAGTGAAAAATATGGCTGGGCCGCTGGACTTGATAATATATGATCCAAAATCTGATAATCCTGGGCTTGGTTGTTTCATGTATGTATGTATGTATCTCACTGTTTTTATATGAAATTATGTATATATCTATTGAAGTTGAATTTATCCCACATTGGGTTTGGACCGGCCTTGCATGTTGAGCGTAAGGGAGGGTATTGAAGTTGAATTTGTCTTACATTGCCAAGTTAGTAAATTGTTATGGCGTATATATGTGATTAGACTCTCTCTTCCTTTGAGCCAGCTTTTAGACTTGAGTTTTACCTAAGCTCACTTTATCTAAATCTGCATGAGATTCGTTAATTTGTTAAATGAGAAAAGGAAGCATAACATTTGAGCGTGAGAACTCAAGCCCATTTTATCAATATGCACAAGAAATTCATTAATTTGTTAAATGAGAAAAGGAAGCATAACATCCGAGTGTAGGGGAGGTATTGAAGTTGAATTTGTCCCACATCGTCAGGTTGGTTGTATATATGTGGTCAGGGGCAGACCTAGGAATGAAACTTAGAGGGATCAAAGGGTAAAGTAACAATTAACATAAATATAAATATAAATACAAATAAACACAAATATTTGTATTAATAAAATTCTTATTAACTAATACATTTATAATTGCTCTCGACGAGATTTCAAATACATTCTTCTCTATATACACAATTAAACTATCATTCAACCATTGATCACTCATTCTATTTTGCAAATGATTATTCACAACATTCATTGCTGAAAATGCTCTCTCTACACTAGCAGTGGCAACTAGTAAAATCAATGCTAATTTTATCAACATATAAACTAATATAAACACTCTATCCTTCTTAGTTTCAACCATCACTCTTGCAAGATCTCCAATCTCATTCAATTCCATAAATTTGACATTAGAGCGTACATCCAAAATGTAAATTTCAAATTGAGAATCAAGCGCTATGAGTTCTAAGTTAGAAAAATCTTCTAGATAAAGTTAAGCAAGGCACATCAATTTTTACTTATCAAAAGCAACAAAAATTTCATTTGGACATAAGCATGCCAAACAAATAAGCAATTCAATGTTTACCTCATTGAAACCACTATTCAACTCTTGAAGCTGCATATCTAGGACATTAAAATATTAGGACATTAAAATACTTCAATACAATAATGATGCACATTTGTGATACACTTAGTCTTCCGTTGTGATCACCCTTGAATAAAAAATTTGTCTGTCATCCATATTTGGAATATCAATGTCATGTTTGGCACAAACATAACAAACTTTGCTAAGTAAATTCTCCCATCCACTATCCCTCATCAATTGTAAAGCTTGTTTACACGTTTCAATCAAATTCATAGCATTTACAATATCTTGATCTTTTTTTTGTAGTGCTTGAGAAAGTTCATTTGTAAAGCTAAGTAAATCTTTCATCATAAATAGACTAAACACAAAATTAAATGATTGCATAAATTTTAATATATTATTAGAGAAAAATAGGGATTGGAGAGATGGAGTGGGGCACGTTGGACAAGAGAAAAAGTTGAGATTGGGGAGAAAATAGGGAAAAATATTATTAGAGAAAGTCAAAATTTTTAATTAATTTAATTTACTGTAATTTATAATTTAGTTTTTTTATGGGGCAAAATTGAAAAAAAAATTAAAATAAAACCCAAGTGGGGTCACTTGACCCCATGTGAGTCCACCCTTGTATGTGGTTGTACTCATTCCCCCCTTTAACTAGCTTTTGAGCTTGAATTCTACCCAAGTCCACTTTATCAATATCCACATGAGATTCTTGATTTCTTAAATGAGAAAAGGAAGCATAACATAATGAAGTGATTTCTAAAATGAGAAAAGGAAGCATAACATAATGAAGTGATTTCTAGCATATATATAAATTAAGGCATAATCCATAATATTATTAATAGAACCTTATGTATTTCATTGATGTCAATTCATCTCATTTAATTCTGTTTAATTTTTAGTACATTGTGTGTACAAGCTTGAATGTTTTTCTTCTTGCATATCTCAGCGCAAAAGTCCACACTAGAGGTGGAACAAATGGGCCGGATTAAGCGGGTCAACCCTAACCTAGCCCGCAATGAAGAGGGTTCAACCCACCAGTAACCCCCGGGTGGGCTGGGTTGCTATTTTGTCCTCTCTGCAGAAGGATCGCCAACTCGACGGGTTGGCAGGCGGGTTGGCTATAAAAAATAAAAAAATTTGTAAAATTTATTTATTTTTTTAAATTACCATTTTACCCTTGAAATATAGCCGTTTTATAACCGTTGGAGGGGTCTTTTTGTCATTTTCTTTCTCCATTTTTTTTCTAAAAATTGGCCCTAAACTCTCATATTTTTCTCACAACTCAACTTCTCTCATTCTCTCATATTCTCTAATCTCTATTCTCTCAATTATTCATTTATTCTCTTAATCTCTTTGTTATCAATTTGCTCTTATTTTAATTTTTATTAGTTTTTGCAATTTTCAATTCATATTTCCAATTTTCCAAATTCCAATTCTCTTTCTTTAATTTTTATTTCTTCTACATCAATTTTTTTTTCAACTACAATGGATTAATTTTTATTAGTTTTTGCAATTTTTAATTCATATTTCCAATTTTCAAAATTCCAATTTCCATATTCCAATTCTCTTTCTTTAATTTTTATTTCTTCTACATCAATTTTTTTTTCAACTACAATGGATATATATTTCTCTCCCATCAATTTCAATGATGAAGGAAACTACTATCCTAGTCCTAGTTCCGCTGATTTTACTATGAATGCAGGAGATTCAAATAGTCATGTTGTCCCAGTCTCAGAATCCGATACACCTCAAAATATGTCGTCGATTCCAACAGCTCCCGATGGTTCTAGAAGTCGTTCTCGTAATCATCATCCTCGTCCAACTCCATCTCAAGCTGAGGCGGGTTCATCAACTGCCGTCGAAACCAAAGACAGGCACACATCAGACGTTTGGGCGCATTTCGACAAGTTTTACGAGACAGAAAATGGCGTTCAAGTCAAGAAAGCAAGATGCAAATATTGTGCAAATGTTTATAAAGCTGATTCAGGTAATGGTACTAGTACTTTAAAAATGCATGCTAATAAACATATTAATCAACATGGAAATAGAGAAAGCAATCAAACTCAAATAACTAATATGGGTACTACTTGGCGTTATAATTCTGATGTATATAGGGAACAGTTAGCTTTATATATTGCTGCAGCTGATCAACTTATTAATATGGCTGAAGATAAATATTTTGAAAGATTTGTTCAAAATTCATTTTTTCCAGGATTTAAAAGTTATTCTAAAACTGCAACTAGAAATGATTTAATAAAATTGTTTAAAAAAATGAAATTAGAATTAAAAAATAAATTACATACTTGTCATATTAGTGTGGCTCTAACTGCCGATATTTGGAGTGGTAGAGCTAAACAAGATTATATTTGTGTGACTAGTCATTATTTTGATAATAAATTTAAATTAAATAAATCTTTATTAGGATTTAGATTAATGGATGTGGATCATAGTGGTCAACAAATTTA